AGCGATTGCTTCCCTCATAGTCTGCCACAGAGCATTCCCCCAGAGCTCTCTGCTTGTTGGAGGGGAATAGGGATTCAGTTCTGAGGATTCAGTATCCTCTTGTTTCAACAGATATTTTACTATAGTAAAGGGAGCAGAAATGACATTGACTGAAGTAAAATAAATGAGCATTAAATGGATTTCAGTGGATGTGTGGTTTTGTTTCCTAAAATATCCGGAGTGTGAGAATAAAAAGGTTGAGCTTTTCATCATGAATTAGGTGCGTCTTAAAGAAAGGTTCAAAGGTGGTCAGAAGGATCAGGCTTGGCTTCACCAGGAGCTTTTGAGAAACAAGGTCAGCACCTTTTGCAGAAAGTCTATTTGTTTGCAGTCCTTCAGGGAGTCTCAGGGATAAAATGGTTTCTGACCAGAGTAATTTAACAGCCAGGAAAAGAAAAAGAAAAAAAACAAAAACCAAATCCTTCCCAAGATGATAATTTTTTAATTCCTAACCAGAAGCCTCAAAATTCTTTTCCACATCCCAGCGCTTGACTTTTGTGCACTGAATAAAGACATCTTATTAAACACTTGTTAATTTGCTGTGATGCTGAATGCAAGTTAGTACAGGTCAACTGCACTTCCAGTTCTGCCAGCGTGCTGTCCCAAGCTTTCACAATCACTGTGTTACAAAACAATTCCAACAACGCTTCCGCACTTTATCTGTTGAAAACATACCATTATGAATCCTAATACAATGAGCATGCCCTAATATTTCTGCAGAACACGTTGCCATGATAAGTGGTCATACAAACCAATCTCTGTGAGGACATACTCGATAGTATCAGAATTATGCAAACACAGACATTTTGCAGCAAGGATTCTTCTTGCAGAGCTTAATGGAGAGAAGAGAAAACCATCTGAAATCGATTTTTCAGACGAGCTGTGTAATGCTGCATTATGCTATGACTTATTACTTCTCAACCTGAGAAATGCAGTCAACTATTGATGTTACAGCTTTTACTGAAGAGTTCTACTTTGGAACAGTGAAAGAGCAACAGTGTTTATCAAACAATGAAATCGGCACTGGCACAGGTGCTAAATAGATCTAATCCAAAGCAGATCTTATTAAAGGTCAAGAACACCATCACACATGAATGCATCCCATTGTGGAAGCTGAGCCCCCAGGGAGCTACCTACACCAATTAGCAGAGGCACTGGCACAAACACTTCCAGCCACTCCACGCTCCCATACGTATTTCAATGCTTTTAAGAAAATTACTCTGTAGCCTCATGTAGAACAGCATCAAGGAGGGAAACAAAAATCTTGCAGCTTTCTGTTTTCCTTTCAGAGAAAAAGAGAGGTTTTACAATCTGATCACAGCCTAAACGCTCTTACAGCTTAGCTGAGGGGGCGGAAGCATGAAGGAGATACACAGACTATTTCATCAGATTTTCTGTCCTCATTTCAGAAGAGTGCTCAAGAGATCACAGCAGGGCGTCCTATGATGCTCTGCAGAAAGACTGAAGCTGTATTAGGAAAGTTTTTGAAGCCCATAACATCAAACGATTTTCCCTAAGTACTCAGAGACACAATCTGCAGTCTACAAAAAGGAAGCAGAGGGGGTTTATTTCCCAGCCAATTGTGCTGCTCCCCTCTTACAGCAAAATAAAGCTGCAAGTTAGCTGAAGCACTACAAGAACATGCTTCCAGGCCATATGAAACATCCTGCTGACAATGCCAGGACTTGGATGTCAAAGGGCACAGCTCTTCACACCGAAAGAAAAAACAGCACTCACTTCTGACTCTCCAGCACACTGAGAATAGTTGCAAGGGGGCTTCTTAGGCTTTCCTTGAATTATGTATGGAATCCCAGCATGCCTGAGGCAGGCAGGGCCTCTTGGGTCCCCCAGTCCCAGCCCTGCTGAAGCAGGGCCACCCAGAGGAGAGTACCCAGCTCACGGCCAGGTGGCTTCTGCAGACCTCCAAGGAGGAGACCCCACAGCCTCTGTGCAGCCTGTGCCAGTGCTCCGTCACCTGCACAGCACAGAAGTGCTGCTTGCTGCTCAGAGGGAACCTCCTGTGCTCCAGTTTGTGCCTGTGGCCTCTTGTGCTGGCGCTGGGCACCACTGGAAGGAGTCTGGCTCTGTCCTCCTTGTGCTCTCCCTTCAGGTATTTACATACATTGATGAAATCCCTTTGAGCCTCCACTCACAGCTGAGCAACCCAGCTCCCCTCAGCCCTTCCTCACAGCAGAGGTGCTCCTTCATTTTCATGGCCCTACACTGGACTTTTTCTAGTAAACCCACAGCTCTCGTGCTGGGTGACCCAAAAGTGGAATCAGTACTTCAGGTGCAGTCTCACCAGTGCTATATAGAGATGGATCACTTCTGAGCTGCTGACAATGCTCCAATGCAGCCAAGAATACCGCCATCCTTCTTAGCAGCGAGGGCATGCTGCCAGCTCCTGTTCAGCTTGGCATCTGTGCGACCTTTTCCACTTTATGTTTATGGATCTGACTTAAACTTTTATTTTTGAGTAGCTGGAAATAAATACATAATTCTTCAATGTGATTCTGAATGCTTTAAAGTGGGAAACAGGTCCTGCTGGGTATCTTCAAGTAGGGAAGTCAACTCACAGAGACTCCTCTGAAATGCTGGTTTCTCCTTCCACAGATAAATGGTGGTTTTGGTCACTTGGTAGCATTTGGTCACCATGTTTCCACCGGATGTGTCATTCACAGGGTTTCTAACTGCACTTCTTGTGTGTTGGTGTGAATTTATCACGGTCATTGGAAAAGCTCCGCTCCAAAATCCCATTTTTCCTTATAGATAACAATGTAAAAGATGTATTTATATTCACAGTCCTCATTATTGTGGAAATAACTTTGAAGCTATGAATTGAGTCACACAACAAAATCATAGTGAATGTACAAACCCCTTGAAACAACAGCACTGGGAAGCACTATGCACTGCATACTTTTGGAGTGTTAAATCTTAACTCTTAAGGACAATCTCAAGAGTCACAAATAAGACATGAAATGTACTATCATAAATAAAAAGGTACAAAATAGAAAATGCCACATAAGCCACACGCGTTATGTTTACTATTAAAGTGCATGGTACCTCCAAAGTCTCTTTTTCCCAACATCCACTGTTCCAAATTTCCCTGCTGGGATGAACCGCTCTTCTAATGGGTTAAGTCAAACAACTTCTAGCAAAGGGATTCTCACACTTTCTGTTTTTTCAAAGTCCACCTGCACTTTGGGATCCTCCCGGAATGCATTCAGCTCTGCCGAGAGACCAGCTGTGCATGTTTCAAGCAACATTCTTTTAAATCCCAGTTAGGCAACACGCAGACTGGAAACAGCCATTTTTGGAGAGCAAATAATGAGAAAAATGGGACCTCTTTTGTTCTGCTTTATTGAAACCAGGCGTCCTCAAGTCAGAGGCATTTAAACCATTTATTAGCGTTAATCATTGTAGGTTAAATAAAACACGGAAGGTACATCTTAGGGCAAAAATATTATTAGGTATGATACAATTAATATGTAAAACGGAAGGTAAAGTATTAACAGATTGCAGCATCCCATATATGAAGCAAGTGGGTCCAGCCCAATCGAAGCCCTTACATAAACAAAACAGAGGAAGAGTACTTGGAAATTGATTTTAAACTGTCAATTTACCACTGACTCTGGCTTAAATAGTTAAGGGTAGAGTAGTAAACTACATCATCACTGCACTGAAAAGGTCTGAGTGTAGAGGCAATGCTCTCGTTATGATCTAATAATGCACGCCATCATGTGCCATGAAAAATTACTGAGGAGACAAGGGGCAATAGGTAACCTTCCTAGTAATTAATATATAGCCATGGTATGTTTTAGCACTTCAGATAGACCTGCTGTACCATGACTAAAAATAATCAGCTTTTTTTTTTTAGCGTAACTTTAACATTTCCAAGTGCCAAATCTTGAATAATAACGACCTTTTCTATATTTCTCAGCTGCAAGACCAACTTTTTCACAATATGCCATTTTCATGCATAAAAACGGCACATCAACGATTGTACCTATGCGTATCTTCACACTCTTGCTACCCTCGGCCTGCAGCTTTAACTTCATAAAGGCAAAATGACCATAAACAAAAAATGTACTTACAGAATACAATGTTCAGTATACGAGACTCAGCCATAGTGAAAAAATACACTACTTGTCAGCGTAACAATAAAAAACTGTACTTACATACACACTCATATGCAGAGTGTACATGAAAACAAGTTCCTTCATCATCTTCTACTATTATTGTTTTCAAACAAGCTCACGACAAGCCGGAAAAGCGAGTCACCTGCAGTTGGAGAGTCACAGCTGTGAGTCACAGTGCAAACAGACTCCATCAAACACACCTGGCACCACAGTGCACCCTGATCCTGCTGCCAGCTCGCATGAGACAAACAGTCTCCGACAGAGCCAGCACCGGCTGGCCGATGAAGAACTGCACACTGTTCTTATCGCTGCCAGGAGAGCCGAGCAGTGACAGAGTTCAGTGCTCCTGTACAGTCACGTAGCTTTCAACCGGCCATTAACCAGTAGGTAGTTACGATCGCTGCTGAAAGTTTTGACTCGGAGATTGTTTGCTTGTCTGTCGTTTCTCTGGCTGTTTATGAGGGTGGCGGTACTTACTTTCCAAACAACAAAGGCAACAAAAGAAAGCAAAAATTTTACATGCGAAGATCACTTTTTCTTAAGCCAACCATTCACCCACAAGTATGGAAGAGTGTGGAAGAGGAAGGCTAAAGCTACACTTCAGCTTTGACAAACAGCAGATAACTGACATCATCACTGAAGTTTGGCCCTATCTTAAAAGTAAACACAAGCTACTACACAGCACCGTGCCTTGCTGTTTTTACACGAGACTCCAGAGTACTCTGCTGAAGCTCACCGTAACCCAAGAGGCACTCAAGGCCAGGTTGGATGGGCCCTGGGCAGCTGAGCTGGTGGGTGGCAGCCCTGTTCATGGCAGGAGGGGGGGGCTGGGTGGGCTTTGAGGTCCCTTCCAACCCAAACCATTCTGTGACTCCAAGATTCTACAAACTTATTCGAGTGAGAAAAAGAAGAACAAGGTGATTGAAATTTGGCCCACCTAATGCAAAAATAGCTTTGAGCCTACTTTGCTAGTATTTGAATTCTAAAATCTGCCATAAATCCATTGTAATGATTTCCAATTTTACACTCTTTAAAGGCGTAACTCAAAAACCTGTTCTGAATCACAAGCAGCTCAGTGGCAGCTGTGAGAACTGGTTGGTCAAGACAATATCTATCCCATTCAGATCCTCATAAAAGGCCAGTTGTATCAGAAATTAGGAGTATACAGTACTTGCAGAACTGTCTTACAAAGCCTTCAGCTATCTCAAGTAAGGCTTAATGAGATTTGAGACATCACATTATGAAGACAGATACCATACAGATCTATGAAAACTTAAAAATCAGTTATGCATAACTACTACACATTGAGCTAAATTTTGTGTTAAAACATGTGGGTTCCACCTCACCTTGTTTTCTTGATACCAAGTCTAGCCTTTCACAGATGAGCCACAGATCCCATCAATAGCATTAATCTGTATTAGCGATCAGTTCCTATTAGTTTAGGACACAGTTAACTCCCCTGCCCTACTGTAGTTGCCTGGGTTCCCCAAGCAGACACACTGGGATGGGATGTAAGGAAACACTCTATTTTGCTTTATTACATCCCAGCCTTTAAGCCCAAATCATTTTTGAATGGAACTGTGGTTCTTGCAACAGCCTTGTGGAGATGTCTTGGATGGTCCCTAAAGGAGCCTTACAAACTATAGACTGTGATGACCGCTGAATTCTCATGTGAACAACGATGGATTATCAATAGAACAGTTGCTGCAATTAAGTAGTAGGCATGATCAGCACAGGTGACAAAACTGAAAGGTCACCCTAACTATCCTTTCTATTGGGAGCTCTTGTGTTTGTGCTTACAAATTTCCAGGTGTGAGCGCTTTCAAAAGAATCCAAAATCAGAGAGGATAGTAGGTGAAAAACCAGCGTAGTTCGGGATCTTAGATAAGATGAGGTGGGAAACATCTCAGCTGATCTTAATTATTTAAGCCCTTCAAAGAAAAGGAAATAATCCCATTCAGTAGACTCGGCTCTGGTTCAACCACTAATAATTAGTACTATTTTATCAAAGCAACCACACAGCCTAGCAAGAAAGTCTGGGTTTATGCACAAACACTGAAGCCCAGCTCTAGCCTGCCTATTTATGGTTTATAGAAGAAGGTTACTTTCCTCTTTTATTTTTCATAAGGCCCCCAGAAAAGGTATGATGAGGTCTATTTTCCCAATAAGAGAACAAATCAATGTTGGACTATGAGGTGAATTCACCCTTGTTTAGATTTCCAACTGAACCGATGAAAAAGCAAAATCAGTCACATATATTCATAAGAGATGGAAGTGAAGAACACAATTTTACATTATTTCTAGTTCATAGCCATCTCTGGGATTTATTTTTCTAGCATGTGCTGCAAATAAGCTTCAAAGGCATCATGCAGTAGTTCCTCATATTGCATCCCCATGTTGCTGAAGAGACTATTCCACAAAGGAAGAGAATTGCACTTGTAAGGAAACACTCTATGCTGCTTTATCAGGTTCCAGTCTTTAAGCCCAAACCATTTTTGCACAGAACTGTTGTTCTCCAACAGCCTTGCAGGGATGTCTTGGAGCGAGCCAGGAAAGGAGTCCTGGCCCACAGGGGCAGGGTGGCACTCTTTTAGAAACAGAACTGGGACTGTTAAGCTGAGAAATCTTAGCCTGGGACTCAGACAGGGCAGAAACTTGGTAAGCAATAGAGATTAAGCTGGTATTCGTGTTTTTAACAATTTCAGCAATTAATGAAGCGTATGCCTTGAAAATCATTTCAAGCAAAGTGCAGCTGCTGCTACTTCAGTTCTTTCCAGAGCAGTGAGGTCCAACAGCCTCCTTCGTGACAATTCCTTCTTTCACATGCACAGCTCCTCTTGACACAGATGTTGACTTGCAGCCTGAACAAACTGCACTTGCTCATCCTTCAGATCCATTCTTCTAGTCAGCAAATTCAGTTCAATTCTTGCTGGTATTTACTGAAAGCATAAGATGAAGCTACAGATCTAGAAAAATACAGAAGCAGAGTCCAGCTAACAAGGCAGAGAAACTGAGCCAAAATTCAGGTTTTATGGGTTTTCGCACCCTCACACAGTGCGAAACAGAAAACTCTAAAAACATGCCACGTCCACTTTGTAATGTAAAAAGATTTTTTCGGTAGCAAATCTAGAATTTATATAAAAGGTTCTTTTTATTTAAAAAGGACAGTCATCAGCTGAAACAGAGCATCAGAATACTTGGACACTAATTTCGACAAGATATTAGGAAGGATTTTCCAAGTAGGTTTTACAAAATCCATCTGAAGTAAAGCTTTCTGCTTCTGGTCCTTGTGTTATTACTCACGGGAAGTATTGAAATTACTGCTTTCAAGATAAGGAGCCACGTCACTGAGATCATGAAGTCCTTTCTCCATGAAAGAGTAAATGGAGCTGTTTTTCAAGTAAATCTCAAAAGATCAAGTTGGGTCAGCAGCACCGCCTACCCGTCTGTGAAGTCTGCCTTCCAAGTTTGATTGCTCCATTGTTACCATTTTCATGAGGATCTAAAGGTGGAATTTGCTGACCTGAAATACATGAGGAGACAGTTAATTCGATTTTCCTGATGCAGTAACCACACGGGCAGATAACAGTTATGGTGATTTAGCTTGCGTAACAATTACGTCTGTAAAATTAAACAGAAAAGCAGCATCTTCTCTGTACCTTAAATCTTTCTCCCTTGCACCCTGCTTATGAAAGAGCAGTGTTTTCACACACTTATATATGTAAGATATGTCTATCAAGCAAGTACTAAGGACACTGAAATTGTTATACATGTATTTCAAAAGCAGATATCTTACTGAGAGCTGAAACACTAAGATGCGGAAAATTCTCGGCTTTCTCCTAGTTGCACTTAAATGCAAATGGTGCCAGTTTAGGAATGTCAGGATTTCATTAAATTTACATGGCATTCAGTCGTTGTACGCCAGAATTTCACAAAGTGCTGTAATTACACGCATGCTGCCTGCACTTGGAAAAGAAAAACAAATCTGTTCTTTCCACTGCATTTTTCCATCCTTTGAGGGCTACCTATGTCTCCACAGTTGACAGCACTCGTTAATTAACAGCATCCCTCCCCAGCTCTCCTGGCTTCTTCATTTTATGGGATGATTATTTTAAGCACTTGAAAGACTGTCAGCCAGAGCTCTCTCCCTGGGGAAGAAAGCGCTGCTTCTCACCTCTCCCTTTTGTGCCTCTTCACTACTGCTCCATCCTTGGTCTTATTGACTTAACTGCTGACGGACAACATAACATGTGCTCAATAATCAGAATTATATGAGGGAAAACAAGATCCTCCCAGGTCCAGTCCATGCTTAGTCTCTCATCAGGCCTGGCTTTTCAATTCCTCTTACTGAATGATCTATTTTTTTCAGTATCTTAGAGAGCTTGCAGTCATGGTAACTTACTTTCTCACTGCACTGTGGACCTGCTGGATTTTTTTTCCCCTGAAGCTGAGTCTACTTTCTATGAATAACTCCTGTTTTTACTATTACCTGTATTAAATAACAAGTCAAAGTGTTTAACACTTGCTAAATGCCACTTTCAGTGGCAATGATCATAATTCAGGTCAGTCTCAATCAGTTCAGATTTCCCCATCCTCTCCCATATTCATGGACAGTTGTCTCCTTCCGATTGCTCTATGAATTACGTTTTTCTGCTGAAATTTGGGTCCTGCAAAAAACCCGAGAGTGGTGGCACTGAATTAAAAGCAAGCCCCAACAAAATCAAACAGCAAGGTTTCATTTGTAAGACTTGTCCATAAATAACCTTTGGTCAAATCCACCAAATTTTCACTTATCTTATTCTATCATTTCTGAACAGGTACATTATACCTCAAAAGTGCGACTCTTTGAAGCAGATAATCTTGGATGTCCATACAACTGAATGAAAGGGCAAACATTTGCCATAGTAATAAGCAAAAGTACTGCATTTGGGCCCAAACAGAGAGAAACAGGAATCTTGAGGGCTTAAGCATGTCTAAGCACTGACATTACTGTGCTGCACTTGCACTTTATTCTAGTCACTAACATAGCAGCTTTACACCCTGCTTACAAACATAAAGTCTCATCAGAATACAAGTGCCCTTCTAAAGTAAAATAAAGCAGAATATGTGGTCAGAGACATTACGTGCATCAATTCTATCAGTTCTGTTTGAGACAGTCTGCTCATTCTTAAAAAACTCTAAAATATGGGGAATGTGTCATCTGTAAGACGTTTTCCACAGAGGTAATGCTATCACTTTAGAAATGCACTTACCATTTTTAAAGTGGTTTGACCTCAGTACCAGCAAAAATAAAACGTTGACCATTTGTCCCTGAGCACAATGTAGCTAAAATAGTTAGGATCTATGGACATTATTCCCATATCAAACCATTAAGCAAATAGTGCCTAAATGTGTTCTTCTAATGGCAAATTTTGAAGAGGAAAGTTGGCACAGGCTAACTAGTTTAACTTTTATTTTAAAAGCTCACATTAAACCTCTATTTGTTTCTCATTCAACATTCCACAGTTCTTATGAGTTCTGAGTCTCTCCAGTAACACTCTGATGTGTATGTATGCAAAGGATGAGGTAAGCTTATCTTTGGAGCAAAAACATTGCAGGTTTCAAGGTTGGAGAGCACTCTGTCCAGTTCAGAACAGGACACCATACAGGTAGTTAAGAATCAACTCAGTTCAATTCATTTCTCAAAATAATAAAGAAAAACCAAAGCAAAGACAACTACAAAGAGAAGAATCTGTAGACACAGTATTTGCTGACTCATTATTCCACCTTTGATCTTTAGTACTGTTTGTCATTAACCAGTCATGTTTTCTGTTGTTCAGTTAATGCCCCATGAATTCAACACAAGAAAATACAGCTTTAAACAGCTTAAGTCTACATAAGTTTGAGACTTTTTCTTTAATGGGTGAGGTTTTTTTCTCACAATTTCTCCTGTCATCAGATTTAAGTCGTTGAATGAAACCATTTTAACCCTAGTAACAGGATTTATCCCTGCTGAGTGATCTTGTACCATCTGATGTGCAGCCAATCAGCCAATGGGTAACTACTGGAACATAAAACTCACATAACTCTCACTACAGAGCAATGGATCTAGGTAGTAACAGCTGTCTCACAACCACGTTGCAACAGAGAAAGGTTCAAGCACCAACAGCACACCAAGGATTAGCAGAGAAATGCTAAGCCTTCACCTGTGTCTGGTGCTTGTGAAACATCTCAATCTCTGTTGCTAAAAGGACTGTGATCATCTTAACTTGGAATTCAGCTATTGACAAATATAGCGTCTATAGTGCTGACATCAATGCAATCCAGCTGGCACTGAGTCAGAACCAAAAGAGGTCATAAAATGAATTAATTTGAGAAAGTGTACACTCATTTGAGAAGTATTTTTCACTGTCATACGTGGCCTCTGTTCCAGAGGAATAAAAGGTACTCACACATGAGATAACCTATAGTTATTTTTTTCAGGCAGTTGACATCAGGTAGGAGCAGCAGTGCCCCAATGCGCAGCCCAACAATTCTCCTGCTTAAAAAATAAGTAGATGAAGACAATTCCTCTTCTGATCAAAGACTGCTCTGTTAATATGGAGTTGGCTCAAAAATACCACAGGAGACAGAAGAGTTCTGTTGCTTAACTTAAATTAGACTACAAATAGAATACATTTTCTACATTTTTACAGAGCAGGATAGAGACAGTCACCTTGCCATCTGACAAAAGAATACTGAGAATGTGCTTTATCATTCCGGACAAAATGGTTCACCACATAGAGAAAAACTGATGTGCATACATTAATCCAAGAACTCCAGAGCTGAACTGGTGACATGCAAAATTTAAGGTTATCTTACTAAATTATGCTGTTAGAGAAGGTATAAAGCTCCACATGGCTCCTATTGCTGACACTTCCATAGAGCAAAGTCTATGGATGCTGATTTCAAGTTAGATTTTTGCACCTGCATTAGTCATCTAATTATATATTCTGAATTGATTTCACTAATGTTTAGAGCATGTTTCATATATTATTTTATGCAACAAAACTGTAAACGTTCACCTCTATGCATCTGTGCCATGGTGCTGGGCTCCTCCATGAGCTCATTCCAGTAAGCATATAATGGGGCGTAAAACAAACATCACAAGAGACTGCTCAAAGGTAGGATTACAGAAACATCAAAAACAAAGAAACATCTGAAGTGAACCTTGCAGGTTAACAGGTGGGAAGCATTAAACCCATCACATCTCCCACTCTCCAGCACACTTGAAGCAGCCCAGAATGAAGGTCAGGGTCTTCTTGATGCCTGGCTGAGTTCCAGCTCCTGCTATTAAATCTGAGATTTGTAATGCTAAGAGCTTAATTGGCACTCTGGGAATTGTGGTTTGGAGAGAGCCAGAGGCAAAGGGATTGAGAAATGAGAGGGGAGGGAGGGACAAGAGGTAAACAAAATAGGAAGGGAGAAAAAGAAAACTGGAGCAGGAAGCATGAGAGACAAGAGGGACTGGGTGACAGCTCTGCAAACAGAACTGAAGAGAGGCAGACGGGGATTGCTCTGTTGCAGCTGGAAGCCTGATACATCATCACAGCAACAAAATCTGCTCCCTTTGTTCCTTTTTGAACGCAATGCTCCAGTTGTAAGTGTTGGACAGACTATCATTTAGTGTGCGCAGCAAAAAGGGAAGTGGATGCCATCAGCCCTACCTAGCACAGGCAGGTGTTGAATTTCAAGTCTAAAAGCAACGCAGTATCATTACCTGATAAAACTACCATTCTGCTAAGGGTAAAGGCAAGACATCATCTTTCCCAACCAGGGCTTCCTGTTCATTTCTCCCATCTATTCTCTTTCTAGAAATTGGATACAGCTTACAGAGGAAGGGGAAATTTTCACTGGGATGTGAAATCCATCTTGCTCGCCAAGAAAGCAACAGCCACAGCTTTCTGACAACATGTTGCTGAGAAGAGATGGACTGCATCAAGCAGCAGCACAGCAGTTAGGCAATGGCCAGAATCCCTTTCTAAAAATGCTAGCTGTATCACATTTTGTGCATCATTTTGAACTGCAAAGTGTTGCTTTCTGTAACCCACATTACGAAGCACAGCCATTAGAGAAGGCATTACAGGATGAAGCAGGCACATCTTACCCAACATGTTGAGCATTTGCATGTATGACCTTTTGTGAACTTGTGGGACTTAGGACAGTCACACTCCTTATGTCCCCAAACCCTTTCATCCTCTGAAGCCAGTTCCACAGGTACTTTAGAATTTCCTTATATCTCCAAAGTGGGTTATAAAGTCTGGCTCAGCAGTCAGTCTCTTTTCCTCTCCATACCTCCAGTGAAGCAAATTCCCCCAGTTGACAGCTGACTGCTGTTTACTTCATGTACTAAATTTTCACGCAAGGTAACACATTTACGATAAAAGGATATTGCATAATTAAACAGTTACATTGCAATTATTTTAGTACTTCTAGCATTTCCAACAACAAAAATCCTCTAAGCAAAAGCACACAATTGCAACATCGAAGTTTTTGCCAGGTGAACAGCAGTACAGTCGCACTTTGCTCACATAATCAAAACACACAGAAAAACAACAGATTTTAAAAGCATCCAAGTAAATAACAGAATGCCTAATGGCTTTGATTACACAGAGCTCCCATCTTGATATGAGCTAATTAACACTGAGCTGTTCTGGTTCACGTAGAAGAGTTCTCCTACTGTTAGAGGAAAACCATGACCTCACAAATTTAGAGTAGTCCAAAGGTGAGAAAATTTTGCTTCACTAATTAAAAATTGGAAAGCAAGATGAGAAATGATCCTTGAAAACAGCAAGCATAAAGCGTAAAGGCTACAATTTCAAATGTAGGTAAGTTAGGGCAATGCTTTTCCATCCTATTCAAAACATTAACAACCCCCACTTCAAACAAAAATATTCAGATATGAGGTTGGGCTCATAGCAAATCACAGGCCAGAAGTGGTACATGAATTGCCTTGTAGTGTCAGTGGACTTGATCTGCTTAAGATGCCTGTTACAGACCTCCCTAAAGTAGCTCACAGATCTCTGCAAATCAGCAGACAACTGGACAAAAGCCACACCAAGCTCTAAAATTGTCCACCTGCAAACCCACTCATGGTGAAGCCATTTGAGTCCAGGGCAAACATCAATTGCCTGCTGGAGGGGATCCACACTGTCCCACAGAGACATTTCACACACTCCTCTGCAGTTTGTTGAATAGGTAACTGGATAAACTGAAAGCCAAAACAAAAAACTTCCAGGATTTAATCTCCCAGTACTTCTAGGAAATGAATATTTGAGTTACCTGCTGCTGGCAAGGCATCTGAAAGTCAATAGCTTAATGTATTTGTAACTGAGCATTTACCACATGAAAGCTTGTATGTGGAGACAGAAACTCCCGCTCTAATTAGTGAGCCTAGTTTAGGGAGAGCTTTCTTACACAGACTGGTAAAACACCAGCCAGCCTCATTCTCTTGTAGTAGCATCAGTAAGGCCAAATGCTGTAACAGCTCTTCACAAGCTCTCTGCAGAGTGACCCTGATTATCATTCCTCAACACCTTACTTGCACTTCACAGAAGATGGAGAAATGCTTCAACCTCCCTCTGATAGGGCAGCAGCCCTCAGTATTTGTCAATACTTTGATTTTTGACTGATGTGAAATTTGACTTCAAGAAACAACGTGCACTCAGCATTTATTTGCTGTCTAAACTCATGTTTATTACATATTTTATTCGGTAGGCATCCTCCAGCAGCCTATTGCCCCGTACCTGCTTACCTTTGGCCCTGTGGAGGCAGAGGGCTGTTAACCCAGGAGGCACGGCCTCAGCTCTGCCACATATGGGGGTTGGCTTTGTGCAATCCTCTGCTTCTTATCTGGGGCAGCTCCATGCTCAGATAACAGGCAATATGCACACACCAAAGAGAAACAGCTGGGTGTGTACAAGGCTTGAATAATGTAACTGAGGCTTATTTTATTTGTTAAATGAGCGGGTGTCTGAGAATTATGAGGGCGTGATTGCTACTAAATTACAGTACACCCGGGGAAGCTTGTTTAGTCATTTAAAACCAGATACATAAGCTGCCTTCACAGGCACAATCAGCGGTCAAAGTATTAAAACTCCATAAACAGAAGGGACAACACAGACCTAGAATGACTCAGTGAACTTTCACAGCTTTACCAATACTTTAAAATGCATTCCTGGCAGTTTTGCCATCGCTGGAGTCTGTGCCAGTGACAAGCTCACAGAAGTTGCTGGGACTACAATTCTCCTAAGGCTGGGAACAAAAAATACCTATTAATTGCTTGCATAGACACTTACATATTAAAAAAAAGGTAACAAAACCAACAGAACTACAGGAATGCATGGAAAAGAAACCCACTGTATCTCAAGCCTTTTTGATGTCAAAACCTTTCAAAAAGATATTTGAAAAAATTCAGTCCAAGCAGGAAACATACATACGGCTGTAGTAATGACATTCTTTTCTTGTTTACAGAGAAATAAGCAGCCAGGTGATGTTTTACAACCACAGCAAGCCTCCAGCCAAGGTGCTGCTAAATGTGAGTCAAGTTAAGTTGCCTGGCTTGCATTGGAAAACAGAGGTACAACACACAGCCTGAAGCTGCACTCTGTTATGCAGTTCAGTGTTTTCCAACCTTAATGATTCTATTATGTAATTTTTACCTGTTATACTATTTTGCCCCATTCACAGTATTTTCCCTAGAAAAGAGACAGTTGTCAGCCACTCCAGGAAGGAGAAATGATTAGAACATCACGGAATCACAGAACTGTAGGGGTTGGAAGGGATCTCTAAAGACAGAGTCCAACCCCCCAAATCCTTGGAAAATAAAAGCAGAAGCAAGCAGGAGGTAACTTCTTAGATAAAACATTGAACTGTAGTCCATTCTCTGCAACTGTTTCAAGAAGATTTTTTAAATGGAGGAGCTCTCCACACACAATGGAATCTCCTCTTAAATCTAGGCTGCAAAACAAGCAATACGTAAAGAGAGTCTACCTACAGAAGCCACTGTGAGTACTGCTGCCTCTTTGCCAAGAGGCTGGGGAGCTGCATCTCGACCTTCCGCAGAAAGACAATGATAAAGGCACAAGCTCCCAGGTAATGTGAAAACAGAGCCAAAGTACAACCTATGTGACACTACATGAATAAGACTGTCAGCAGGGTTGGAGATGTGGCCACTAGGAGACTTTATGTACAGGAAACATGAATTCTGATGTGCAATTTTTGGGCCAAAGTGAGATTTTTTTTGGAAGTTGCAGACTGCTCCCAGGTCAGAAAGTTATCCATACCCTTTTCCCAGTCTTTATTATAGTAAGTCATTCTCTCACTATTTGAGTACTTTTCACACAGTTTTCACCGCATTTCTGTAAACACATACTACTAAATCTTCTTTTCTTTCCTTTGAGCACTTGATAAGGTCATGAGTACATTCACTGAGACCTAATATTTCTATATATAGAAATAATTGCCTGTGGTATTAAATGCACTTGCCTGCTTATCTAGTTCATACTAAATTCAATTTAGCTGATTTTCCTCATCTAATATATCCATTATTCGGGGCAGCACACACTGCCAGATGCAGCGCTGCCTATCAAAGACAGAAACTAATTAGCTAATTATGTGGCAAGGATGAGTTACTCCACTAGAACATTCACAACCATCAGACACAGGCAATCGAGTAGACTATCTCAAGGAAGAACTGCTTCCTCCAGACAGCCATGTTACACATTCATACTTTTTAGAAGGAGGTAAGACAAAGGTAGTGTACTCTAGGAATATCAGTTTCCATTAACTGTTTCAAATACAACCCACACAAGCAAAGCAATACTCAAGCAGGCTGTGTCTCTGGCAAAGCACAGTAGATAACGCAAGCTGATTATGACTGAGGGGAGCATTAGATGTCATCTATCTTGACTACAGTAGGTCTGTCAACATTTTATCCTACAGCATGCTGATACACCCAGGTTGGGATGTTACAGCCCAGACAGGCAGACTAGCTGCATGAAAAGTCATCAGATTTGAAGGTTGCTATTTAACAGCATCTATCTACCTGCAAGCCAGTTTCAAGTGGAGTAATTCAGGTGTCTAGTATAACATTGTACTAGCAGCCTGAAGGGGAAAAAATATGCATGCACTTCAAGACTGGAAATGATACCAAGCTCAGAAGTGCAGTCAATACACTTAAGGGCAGGGCTGCTGTTCAGAAGGTGTTAGGCTGGAGGGAGGAGTGGGCTAACAGGAGTAGCCTTATGTTATCCAGAAATGAGAAATACCAAGTCCTGCAAGTGGGGAGGAAGAGTCCCTGGCTGAAAGGCAGGTTAGGGACTGTCTGCCCAGGGTAATGTTCTTCCAAAAACGACCTGAAGGCAGGTAGTATGCTGAACACAAGCCAGCACTGCACCCTAGCAGCAAAAATGGCCAATAGCACCCCAAGCAATACCAACAACAGTCAATAGATCACATCAAGCAGTTAACTCCTTCTGGATGCTGTAATGCCTGTTAAGTAACACATTCTGTTTGGAGCACCATGATACAAGAAAAATGTTGACAGATTGGTGTGGCAGCAGCCATGAATTGAACCAGGGAAGGTTCTGACTTGATATGTATTGAGAAGGGAGAAGGTGGCATGCCACTGGAAGACTACTGAAGTACTCAAGCTGCCTGGAGAGGCTTTGGAACCTCTATTCTTGGGCCCAGCTGAGAAAAGATCCTAGCAATCTGGTACTGAATTCATTAGCAGGCCTGCTCTGAGCAGGACAATGGACTGAAGGTCTTCCAAGGTCCCTTCCAACCCACGAGGTCCTGCGATTCTCCCCCAGTTCCATCCAGAGATCAAAAGTTGAATACCTAGAACAACTTAACAAGACATTTTTCTGATCCTTGTGAGAAATGTCAGCCTCATCTTGTTTAAAAGATCCAGAGAGAAAAATACCATTTTTAAATGGATTCCACTGCAATGACTACTTTCTACTTATCGTTGCCTTCCAGGCACACATTTTAACGCTTAAGCTTTTATCAACATGATGTTAAGATCAACAGTATCTTCTCTGCAGCAGACTTGGTCTGAAACAGAAGATATGACCCCAGTTCAGGATTTAGACACAGACTTAAAAAGGAAGAGGCTTACCCTGTATCTACTATATGTACTATATTTTGCTCTAAAATACTCAAAGTTACTCTTCGTTTATATCTGTATAAACAGCAGTCACACTACTGGCCCAGTGCACTTCTTGATGTCCATGGTAAATCTTTCAGAACCAAAACAGACGACTATTTTCAGAAGCCCTTTAAACAGTTACTACTACAAATAAATTAATATTTACATCTCCTTTGCATGTTAATTTACTTACTTATTCCTTGAAAGAGTTCTTCAATGTTAACAGCATTCTTTGCACTGGTTTCAACAACAATTGCACCTATAGATTCTGCATATTCTTTGGCATCCTTCATAGGTACCTCTCTAAAAAAAAAAAAAAAAAAAGACAAAAGCAATTTATCAAAAAAAATTAAGAAAAAAAAAATATTAGCTTCCAAGTTGTATTTGCTCAAATGTTTACCTCAGAATGAATAAAACGTGTCAATAAACAGTGGTTTCTGCTTTCACCTTGGCCCACATTGGTAACAACTAAATAAATCAAGATAGCTAGATCCAAGGTATGAAAGGGCTTTACGGACTTTACAAAACAATTTGCATCAAAGAGCCCTGGTTGTTTTTTTTCCTGAGCGTGTCAAGTAGTAATCTTAGGAAGGTAATCAGCTCCTTGTTCAAATTTTTGTTAATTAACCATTTTGATCATGTACTTCAATTCCTTTCAAGAACTCATAGCAGTGAGTTCTCACAAACAAGATTATCACATCAGTAGTGTGGATTAAAAGTGCATCAGATATCTCCGGGCACAGTTATTTCCCCATCATCTTCCAAAATAGCTTCACTTTCATGCTCTTTTTAATTTCTCAAACATATTTGACATGATTATGATTCACATCTCAGGTTGTCACAGATGCCTGCCTACCTAACATTTCCTTACAGAAACACACTTAAAAAGTGTTACAGCTGAATGCTGTCAGTCCACTACTATCCATACGTTAAATAAGTTTGAAGGTTCCTGTAGTGAAGCAGTGAAATCTCAAAACACGCCCTAGTCAGAAAAGCATTACAATGTTCTTTTTCCCTGCCAAGGAAGTGTCATCTTGTTCTTGTTTTGTCAGTTAATCCAACTTAAAACATCAGAATTCCACTGATGACTGACTTGCAGATTTGCTGATCTACTGTTGAATTCATGCCTGAAAAAAAAAGTGGGTTAACTTGAATAGCAATCACACTTGTTTGTCCTTTAAACTTGACCTTGATAAGTACTGAACACTAGAGAAAGACCTGCAACTCTGATGACCCAAGCAGCCAGCAGCACTGCCCTCACCAAGCACTCAGACAACATATTGTATGGCTGCTGTGAAAGAAAACAGTATTAGCATCATAGGTCTAAGTGCCTGAAATGCATAAGAAAGTAATATGTATTCTGAAAGAAATATGAAAGCCACTGATTTCAGATGCATTGTCAAGAACTACTTAAGAATACAGCACGCTGATGGGAAAGAAACCAATCTGTGCCATGTCACAGAAGTGGCACCATTCTCAAATCACCAGTGAGATGTCCTTATTTTGCAGCCACCACTTCATATGCGAAGAATTGGTAAATGCAGTTTACAACACACAAAATATCTCTGCTGCAGACACACAGCAAACTCCGTACTGACGCTGTATCTGCTTGAGCCAGCTGGCAAAGCTGATTCTTACTGCATCCTTTATTGTCTGCAACCACTGCTCTTCCAATCTTTGAGCAACTGCTCAGAAAGTGAATGCTGACACATGAATGCATGCTGAAACACCAGGCTGCCAGTATTATTTTTTCTTCCAGTTGTTCCGTACGTCAAATGATGTGTGCTTTGTGTAGCTTTACTGTTGCCTGCTGCATACCCAGAGTTTGCTTCAACACCTTCACCACACCACAGCAGTGTATTAATCCAGAGACTCTTAGTGCAAATTTCTCCTGTCATACAGCAGTCTTGTAATTTGGATGAGAAAGCAAACTTAAGAATTCCAGGAAAAATTAAAACAGCAGCAAGGAAGTGCCTCAAAACTTGTTAGCCCTTTCTTCAAGGCTTGTCAGCCTTGTCAGTATTTCCTAACATCTTCAGAATGTTAGGAAATACTGCTTTCCCAAAAGAGTGGTCAGGTACTGGAATGGGCTGCCCAGGGAGGTGTTGGAACCCTGGAGGTGTTCGAGGAACGTTTGGACATTTTGTTGAGGGACATGGTTTAGTGAGAGCTATTGGTGACTGGTGGATGGTTGGACTAGGTGATCTCAAGGTCTTTTCCAACCTTGGTATTTCTATGATTCTATGATGACATTTCTAAAGCAAGTCTATAAACTTCCAAGGACATGTGCAGTAAACGTGCCACCACGATGGAACTGCTGCATACAACAAGCGGAGTTATCACAGCCTGGATGTCAATAAGGCTGAGATTCTACTTCATCCATAGCAAATGCACAAAAGATCTCAATTATTTTACTTCATGCTCTCTCCAACACGTACTGTTGATTCAATTCTCATTGAGATATCCTAAATAGCTACTGAATTAAAAACATACTCCAGACGGGCAGAGTGAAGACCAAAGCAGGATATTCAGCTGAATTCCCAGAAGGACCCAGAAGTTTCCCATGAGCATGATTTGTTAGGAAGGTGCACCATACTTTTATAGAAGTAAACACTATCATTACAACTACTGATTTCTGTAACGCTCAAAAGGTATTTTCAACTCTTGCAACATTTCATTCAGCTCTCATCTTTGAAACTTTTTCCACAACCCATCAGAAGGAAGATTACTATTACTTAAAATCATACCAAATATTGAACAGTACAATACTTAACAGTAATTACAAAAAAGATACACATTTATACTAATAAAATTGTTTGTTGAGCAATAGAAAATCCTTCAGTGTGGGGGGGAGAAAATTTACTTTAGTAGCATGCCAAGAACTGCTGATAACCTATTAACAACACTGAGAAAAGCAGCGTGACTTCTGAATGACCTAAATCCATCTGGCAGATCACACGCAGTTTTTAGGCTCTAAATGAGGAGAGTAACATGGTCAATAATTATGAGAAACAGTGCCAGCCTTCTGCCAAAGGAAAAGAATCATTTCTTATTGCTCCCATTCATCCCTCCTTATACTTTCTCCCACAGTCATAGAGATGGCAGAAAAAAATGAGCTGGAACCCGGTCAGCCAGTCCTCTTTTGTTCTATTTATGTTTGTTCGTAAAGCAGCTGTTCCTTTAATTCCCAACAAAACATCTGCCAGAAGTTCCACGAAGCCAAATGAAGATGTCAAAAACGCATGCAAACAGCAGTTTTTGTGTGCTACAATCATTTTTAAATTCTGTGCCCAAAGACATATCTCCAATGAGCAGAAATACAACGTGATAAATCGGTGACACATTTTGCCTATAGACATTTTTATTGAAGTCACTTTAAAGATAAAGCAGCCAGAGAACAGATACAGCTGCATTTACTGCAGACATCGGAGTTCTGGAAAAAACTCTGAATATGTACAATATGATACTCTGCTCTCTAACTGTCCATCAAAAATCTTTTTAAATGGGCATCACTGGATGAATTGTTGAAAGAGAAAAAGACAGGTGATACAGAGGAAATAACAAATGAAAAAAATACTCAAATTTTTTCATAATTATGGCAGGGAGAATCAACAAAATGAATAAGAAATGTTAGTCCATTGAGGACAATGAGCACCCTGCAAGCACCAAGACATTTTGCACGTGGAAGAGCTGTAGTGGCCAAACAGGCCACAAATAAGGTGATCAGTTGAAAAAAACCTTCGTAGGGAAAAAAAAAAAAAAAAAATCACAGTCATTCCATGAGGAACCACAGGACTCACAACATTTCTGCAATGCAAGTTTTTCTTCATGTTCCCATATTGTCCTGTTTGGAGGGGAATGTATTTTAAAGCTTACTGCCATGGCAATTGCTACCAAAAGGGAGGGACTGGGTGGCTGTGGATGCATTTGCAATTAATGCCATTTGTGATGACCTCCAAACTTACTATCCTTGGTATTTTTTCACTTCAATGATTCAGCAGCTAGAGGCTGTATATTCCACAAATACAGAAGAAGGACAGTAAAAAAGGAATTAAAAGTGCATAATTAAAGTTGAGCTGCTTCTGGTGAAGTTGCACATTAGTAGGAACACTGGTGTTTTTAGGAAAAGACTTCATACAGTTGACCAAGATGATACACTACCATACAACAAAGCAAGCTGGTTACCTGAAGGAAGAAACTGAAATCAAAATCACCACAATCAAAGCAATAGCAAAAATGGATGCATTACCTGATATCAGAAAGATCACATTTATTTCCAGCGATGGCCATTACAATGTTTTCTGGACCATGTTCTTTTAGCTCTTTCACCCATTTCTTCAAAGTATGAAATGAATCCTAAGTCAAAGAAATGATAAAAGCCTAGTTGCCATTGATGTATTTACTAATTTCTTTTTCAATTCAGATGAATACAGCTTTGGCAGTATTAATGCAATAATAATTCCATAGATCATAAGGCCCAAAAGATGACTATTGGATCTAGATAGCCTGCTTTTCAAACTTCAGGTCATAAGATTGTCCCAAATTAATACTTGCTTGAATTTGTTCTTTTCCTCCCTCCCACCTCCCCAAATAGTACTGAATGTTTTTCTTAATTACTCTTTGATGAAGAAACTGCCACAGCTCTTCTTTTAAGCTTATCATCTGATTTCCTCCATTTTTAATGTAAGCTTCCTTTGTCTCATTTCAACTTCTGCCTTGGCTTGCCTCAATCACATGTTTTCAGTACTGTCCAGGAAAGCTTTCGGAAACCCTTTTCTGCCCTTCACCCACCCACACCTCTACACTTCCAAATCCATGACCTGGTAAACCCCAATTTACTCATTAGTAATCCTAAGAGACAGGTGACAATTTAGCTGGTTTTTTTTTTTTTTTTTTTCTCCTCCAAGTACTAAATTCACTTTCTGATTCCACCTACCTCTTACTAGCACATTTTCCTATTTCAGCACTCAAATGAACTAATAGCATTAAAATCACTTTTGTTCCTAGAAATATTGATTTTAATGCATGGTTAAAATTATGACTGAAATTCAAACAGAGATTCTAGGTATATTAAAATCCATTTCCCTCTAGTAGATGTGCACATATAAGTTCTCTCTAAACCAGCGAGGGCTGTATCAACATCTCTGCAGGGAGAGAACCATCAGTCATTTGGGAAAAAACACCTGTTGTACTCTGAAATACCTAGCATCAAGAAGTGAAATACAGATCCCCTTAGCACTTCTATTTTTCCCCTCTTTAGTTTGTGAGCTATTCCACATATGTTTGGAAAAAGGCTGATAAAACTAAGCTCTATCCTTATTAACACACTGCAAGATCAACCATCAGACATGAGTTACAAATAAGTGTCAATCAAGCTTAATTCATTTTTCATCTTTTCTTGGCAAATTAGCAAAGGGGAGAAGTGCCACTGTGCTACAATAGCTACCATTCTCAGACACAGATGATGGGAAGGAATAATATCACAGGGTATCTCCCTGTCTAAGCAGACAGGGAAATAAAACTTCTCCAACATGCAGCCTCCAAACTTTCATCTGGACAAAGTCTAAATATCACAGCAGAAGTTGATGTTTATTTCTTTAGGCAGGCAGAAACCTCTGTCCAGATCTGCACAAACTGCAGAAGCATATAAACTCTGCTGGCATTAACATGTAACTACTTCTCAAGGTTTGAGTTTCATCCCCAACTTGAGCTGCCCAAATAGAGAAGTTATCATAAGCAAAAACTGTGTCACTGTGTCAGAAATCTTACCTGTTTGGTGATATCATAAACTATCACTGCTGCTGCTGAGCCTCTGTAGTACATTGGAGCCAAGGAATGAAACTGTTAAAACATACCCCCCCCCAAAAAAAAAAAAAGAGAATAAAACACCATGAATAAAGCAGAATTATCACACTTTGTCAAATCACAAAGACTCGTAATGGCTGGACTACAGACTTTCACCCACTACAGTCCTCTGTAGTGGTTGCCAGTCTCTAATTTTCCTTAAATCCCACTGAATTTATGAGTCAGTCCTCCTTTTTCTCCTGACGCTCTTCATCCTGCTGGATTTATGTGAACAGCACTATAGACTCTATGCATCTTTTCCCTTACAGTGCACAGACTGAGGAGAAGCTTTGACACGAAGATCCCCTACTTTGCAGGCCTCACCCGACAGCACACATACCCCATACACTGGCAAGGCCCAATGTTTTGCTCTCAATTTTTAACAGGCTGAATTCAGCTTGGGGTTGAGGCTTACAATAACACTGCAAAAATCAGATAAATGACCAGCCACGCTTAGTTATCCCATAGCAGTGTGAAAAACATGGGTTCTTGCTATTTGAAGCTGATGTTACACCTCAGCTTTTTTTTCCAAGTCAGACATCCTTCCAAAAAAAAAAAAAAAAAAAGCAATAAATATTACTGTATCAACAGCTTGCCAATGAACACTGTAATTTTCATAATCGACCATGACTAAGCAGCTGATATAGAATTCCAGCTCATAATTACACAGAGAAAGGAAGTCAAGAAGTTTTACTGCTGATTCACCTAAAGCTATTCTTAAGTAAAGCAAAAATAAGCTGTCTCAGAAAACACATTTAGGCTCACAGAGCTACATTGAAGACTTCTGTGTGTAAAGAAAGGGATCCATAGGAGCTGCATACAAAACTGCAGCCAGTGACTGAGGCAAGCTCCTACATCAGCTGTGTTATTAGGGCAAGGTATGTCTTCCAGTGCCTTTGCACAGACCCATCTGCCACAAACCTCTTAAAACTGTAGCTCCAGGCTGAGCACTTAGACCTACATAGCCAAGGAACACAAGCGCCATGTTTCATGCTGTTTCACACACAACAGAAGAAGCAAGTTATTTGTAAGAATCTGAGACCAGGCCATTTGTCAGCGTGTAAGCTGTTCACAGAACACACTCCCAGCCCAAGGTCAGTGCCTTCCCTTACCAAGAGAAAGGACACGAGAACAGAGAGCGTGACAGATGGCCAAGGGCTGAAATGCACTGGGGAGCAATGCAGGTGGAATCATTCATTAATATGAGAAAAGAGCAGGAAAGGGGGCTGAGAAAAGAAGAGAGGAATCCATCAAGAAGCCAGGTCTAAAGGAAAGGGATCAGCCAAGATCTTGAGGGAGTTGGGTAGATGCCCCTCTGCTGGGCTTTTGGATTCACAGTAGCATCACTCCTTACAAACTTAATGCAGTAGGTGCTTCCCAGAATTTTTATACCTCCAAATCACTACAGAAATCTCCAGTGTATCGTACTGAAGTTCCCTGAAAAGTAGGGAGCTTAACTGTGGGAGTTAAATCTCATGTTCCACCGCACATAGATCCCAGCTGTAAACTTCTGGGGGAGAAAAAATGTCACATTACATATTTCCAACACACATGGATGTGTTTTTAATCTAGGAGACAAGGTATTCACAAATTCACAAAGGGCTCTCAGAGAGCAGTAATCACACTTTGCAGGAGCCACGCAGTTAAGATCCCGTGCTTCAAATTCCTCCAGCACTGGCCCAGAAGGTACACAGTGCAAAGCTGCACCACTCCTTGGGAATTTCAGCCCAATTTCTTCTGAACAGGTGACAAGAACACTTCTCATAATAACTGTTTCACTGAAGAATATTACCAGTGTTAGCCCTAGAAATTTACAAAACACGCAGAAAAGCAGGCATCTTTCACTAGATTCTGGACAAGTACATTTTAAATGGAACCAGGATGCAACCTAGCAATTTTTTGGTAGGAGTAAGTTGGGTTCCTAAACCGGTTTTTTGTGCATTAGGTAAACCCCAGCCTGACACAAAAAAGCGTGGCAGAAAAAAAGGAGGAAGGACAGGAGCACTAGAAGACAGATTGGCACCTGGTTTAGGTCACACTCAGTTCTATGCTTGCAAATCTGCTTTGTGCTCTCCGTAGGTACAGTCTATTCCCACAGTCAGACTCATTCTTCTTTTCCTCCTATAATCTCACAGAATCATATGAAGTTTGGAAAAGACCACTAAAATCACTTAGTCCAACCACTGACCCACCACCACCATGCCCACTAACCTATGTCCCTAATATAACAAGAAGGTAAAAAGCAGAAACAAGAAAAGCCTCTTTTGAAACCTTTTGGGAGATTAATTAATCACTTAACATCGTGTTGCATTCCAGTGGCAGCAAGACCAGATTAAGTCAGCTGAGCCCTTCCTTATGTCAAGAAACAGAAACTGGCACGCAGAGGTGCAGCACACAGAAGGAATGCAGCTCCTCTGCTGTTTAAGACAAAGTAATCTGTTCAAATATTCCAGCTCCTTACAAGCTTGCAAAGAGGGTGGGCAAAACAACAGCATGAGAGTTCAGAAAGGCAATTGCCTATGAAAGGCCCTGAGGTTCAGTAGAACTGGTGGTAAAGAAGGTGTGACTTCCCTGCCCAACAGTGCTGAAAATCTATTTACTTAGCCAGCAGGATAGTTATTTCCTCTTTCATTATTTTATGGTAAGAATATAGCTATAAGGTATTTTAATAAGAGAAAATGCATCATCCATATTTGGACAGTTTTGGTTTTTGTTTTTTTTAAATGTTATTATTGATTTCATTCAGGATAAAAGCTCATACTCCTACTTGGATAAACTTCGCGCTCAGTATCTCAGATTTTACATTGGAAAAAGTGACCAAAAATGGTATTTCAATGTACCTTAATGCAAATTCTTGAAGTCTGTGAGGAAAAAAACAAGGTACACTAGAAACAGCTAGCATCAGTTATTACAGCACAGATTACCTATCAAATACAACAAAAATTATGTCCTCTTTGTGATTACTTTCATACAGTCTAATAATAAGTATCATGATATATTGTGTCCCAGTCATAACGAATCACTGTGCTCTCAATAAAAGAAGAAAAATTATATTTGCAGCACTGAATAAATCAAGAGGCACTGAAAAATTTGTAACTGGGGATCATTTTGATCAACTAACATGAAGTTCTCTTAACAAACGTGCTTTATCAGCATGGATTTTCAAAGGTTACAAACAAAGCAGTAAAAATAAGAAGCAAATAACCAGGTTCGTTGAATGCTTCCCTGACACTCTCTTTTTTTTAGTTTCACTGCCCAAAAGCAAAGTCGTCTTGAACGTTTTTCTGGCCTAATTACCTGAAGAAAAAAAAAGTGACACAAAATTAATTAAAGAGATACAAAATACTAATGTGCACATTTCTTACCTGCCAAGGACCAAATGTGGGACAGAAGCCCCAAAACAAGTGCCACGCAAAAAAGCAGCCCACAAAATTAAATCTCATGAGATCAGCTTTCGTATTAGAAAATTACAATGTCTCTAACCTTGATTTTATAGCTCGATATTTCTGTATCCAGAAAGTCCCAAGAAAATTAAGAGAAACAGGAGCAGTTCAGGATTTGGAACGAGAACAACTCTGCTTCTCAAGAAGAGCCATCTGAAAGCTGAGGGCTGCAACTACTCAAATTCTGAATACCTAGCTCGAATGACTAAAATTCAAGAACTCAAGCATCGACACTTTCCTTTATCTGAAAGATCAATTCTGAGCAGTATTTTGCTTTGACAGTCCTTTAAACCAGGCTCTTTTGGTCCAAAGACGAGGTACGCAAAGAAGGCAAGATCGAATGCCAGCATCCCTGTTGGGCACTGGGAATACCTCCTGTCTCTACGATGACCAAACCATCCTTAGCAGCTCACCCAACAGGGAAATTTAGAAGTCCTGTACCTCTCACTTAGCAACCACAAAAAAGTTGCCAATTTGCACCAGAGTGTCAAGGTAGCACACAGGAAATACCGATCTGTCACACAGTAGCTTGAAAAACTCTTGTAGGGTTCAGTAACAACTTGTGAGGGTGAGGTCACTGATGCTGCCAATATAAAAGTTATATTGCAGGGGCATGTTCCAATTCAACAGCTGTAACCAGGATAAATGGGCCACTCAAAATATAAGCAAGGAACCTATTTTACCATATACATACCAAAGAACAAAATTCATAACTTGAGTAGTTTTGTACAGTCTTTATGACTCCTCCCCTTAGAGCGAGTCACAGAAATATTAACGAGAAGCTCAGCTGGTATCAGAGCACCTTTGCATTCACACTGTTCTCTACCAATGCACTCCCTTTGCACTTGTGGTTCACTACCTCCCCTCTGTAAGGAAGAAGCTATGAGGCTAAGCGTGTGTTATGAAATTTCCTCTAAAATCAGGTCCCTTTTTCTCTCAGAATCTGACTAGAGATTAGCAGCCCTGCACCATGAATTCAGTCTTAAGCGATGCAAATGCAAGTTCAGCATAACCAAGCTCCAGGAGTTTGAGGAGATATTGCAACCCCAGATCCAGCCATCTCACTGAAGTACTTGCAAAGGGCAGAAAATGGAAGCAAGAAGGTATTAAGGAATTCATCACCTAGTTAAAAGCTCAGCGACTTTTTCCATGAAAGCCCTTCTGCTTTGTATTTCCTATGTATCTCACTGTGGAGAAGGGTATATTTGGTTTTAGGAAATGCTTTTTACATTTCCGCTGTGCTAACTGCACAGAATGGGGAAGAAGAAAAACCCACAAAGTATCTATATTGGAATACTTAGAAGAAAAATTACAAAGGGAGCATAACATAAATCACACCCAAGCTCTGGCAGTGAAAGTCTCTTAACCATGTCTTGTGTAATGTTGGTGTAGAAAGAAAAAAAGAGGCCAAATGTATATATAGGGGGAAAAAATTAAAAAAAAAAAAAACACTACTGTTCCTGCCTATTTATAACAAGGCTGACAAATCTGCTGAAGACAGCTTGGCTTCACTCAGTCTGCCAGGAACACCAAAGAGCAATAATTCACATCTGC